AACCGGTCCTCACACCTTACTAGACATAAGAAAATCCATACTGGTGAGAAACTCTACAAACCTGAAAGATGTGACAATAATTTTGACAATACCTAAAACCTTTCTAAACATAAAAGAAACCATCCTGTTGAGAAATCCTAAAAATGTGAAGAATTTGACAAAGCCTTCCAATGATTGTTACACTTGCTTGTAGGTAAGATAATTTATACTGGAGAAAATTTTATAAGTGTAAAGAATGTGACAAAACTTAACCAATACTCACATCTTATTGCACAGGAAAGCATTTTTACTTGAGAAAGATTGTACAAGTATAAAGAATGTGAAAAAGTCATTGATATCTTTTCACATCTTAACACCAGAGAGTTTATACTTAATAAAAGCATTATAAATGCAATTACTGTCAGGAAATTTCAGAAAATATAACACTTTAACGTGAAGAAGCATATTTATTTTGAAGACAAACATAACAAATATAAGGAGCGTAGAAGGGTTGTAGTACCTTTACTTGTATTACAAGTCTTATTGTACACATTTTGTGCTAGAGAAAAATGCAGAAGCAGTTGCTCAAACTTTGTTCAACATCAGGGAATTTATATTGGAGAAAAATCCTGCAAATGTAATGAATTTGGAAAAACATTTTTTTTGAAAACTACAGAGTAGAAAACACGAGTTTATATTGAAATGTGTTTTTATATTGAAATGTGTTTTTGCAGATGCAGTAAATATGAAAAATATTTAATCCAAAATTGAGTCTGTAAATATTAAAGAATTTACAGTAGAAATAACTAAGGCACTGACACTTTAGACATTACACTAAAACAGAGTGTTAAGTATTAAAAAATCTATAAGTTGTTAGATTATTTGTAAATAACTTTAGAAGGAGTAGAAGATTCTTTGGAGAGTTATAATTACATTGAAAGTATACTTTTTTTCTTGAAAAAAATATAGCTTATTTGAAAAGTAAATAATGAAATTCAACCCTCAAATTACTTTATCTTCATTCCTATTGTATTCACATGTGAAAGCATGTGATAAATTGTTGCTGTGTCAGGTATAGGAGAGATTATTTTTTATTAGATGGGCATTATTTATGATTTTTTCTGTGGAAGAGTATGGGCATGAAAATGTAGGTTCATGATGAAAATCTAAGTGCAGAGGCCCTTGTTAGTTTACTTTTCATGTTGAGTGATACATGAGGTAGGTGTTCAGAGTAATATTTTGCATCATAGTGAGAGAAAAGCATTTTTAATTTTACTTTAAATTAAATGTAATTAAATTACTAGTGAATCATTTTACTAATTGTACTTTTATGCTATAAATGCAGTACGTTTGAAAATTTTTAGATTATGTATAAGCTTAATTTTGTAATTAAACATTTCTTTAACATGTTAAGACTATTGTGCATTCAGTGAAGTGTTATTATACCATTAACTTTAACCTGTTTCACTTTACTCGAGGGAGGTAAAAGGGAGTAATAATATGTTATTTGGTCATGAGATATTATTCTTTCTGTACCTGGCTTATTTCAGCTAATATGCTGTCCTCCAGGTTAATTGATGTGATCAAAAGTAATAAAATTTTCTTTTAGATTCCACATAGCAAAAGCAAGAGTAAGCCACAAGAACAAATCTGGAGGCGTCACATTACCTGACTTTAAACTATACTATAAAGCCATAGTCACCGAAACAGCATGGTGCTGGTATACAAATAGGCGCATAGACTATAAACAGGTATGCAAGTGTCTGTTTTCATATAATGCCTTTTTTTCCTCTGGATAGATACCTAGTAGTAGGATTACTAGATCAAATGATAGATCAACTTTTACTTCTTTAAAAAAACTCCACACTGTTTTTCAGAGTGGTTGTCCTAATTTACATTCACACCAGAAGTGTAAAATTATTCCCTTTGCACTGCATCCCCACCAACACCTCTTATATATTTTTAAATTTTTAAATTTTGGCCATTCTTGCAAGAGTGAGGTGGTATCATATTGTGGTTTTAATTTGCATTACTCTGATAATTAGAGATGTTGAGCATGTTTCCGTATGTTTCTTGGCCATTCGTATATCTTCTTTTGAGAATTGTCTATTCATATCTTTAGCCTACTTTTAAATGAGATTGTTTTTATTTCTTGCTGGTTTGTATGAGTTTTTTGTAGGTTCTGGATCTTAGTTCTTTGACAGATGTATAGATTGTGAAGATTTGATCTCACTCTGTGGGTTGTCTGTTAACTTTGCTGATTATTTTTGCTCTGCAGAAGCTTTTTAGTTTAATTAAGCCCCATCTGTATATATTTGTTTTTGTTTCATTTGCTTTTGGGTTCTTGTTCATGAAGTCTTTGCCCAAGCAAATGTCTAGAAAAGTTTTTCGAATGTTATCTTCTAGAATTTTTACTGTTTTAGGTCTTATATCTATCTTGAGTTTATTTTTGTATAAGTTGTGAGATGAGTTTCCAGTTTTATTCTACATGGGCTTGCTTAAACATTCCTGCATTATTTGTTCAATAGGGTTTCCTTTCCCCACTTTATGATTTTGTTTGCTTTGTCAAAAATCTGTTGGCTGTAAGTATTTGGTTTTATTTCTGGGTTCTCTATTCTGTTACATTGGTCTATGTGCCTATTTTTAGATCAGTACCATGCTGTTTTTGTGACTATGGCTTTATAGTATAAAGTTATGTAAACTTTAGGATTGTCTTTTCTCATTCTGTGAAGAATGATGTTGGTATTTTGATGGGAGTTACACTGAATTTCTAGATCGCTTTTGGCAATGTAGTCATTTTGACAATAGTGATTCTACCAATCCATGAGTATGGGATGTGTTTCCATTCGTTTGTGTTGTCTGTGATTTCTTTTAGCAGTGTTTTGTGGTTTTCCTTGTAGAGGTCTTTCATGTCATTGTTTAGGTATATTTTTAAGTATTTTTTTTCCAGCTATTGTAAAAAAAAGTTGCATTCTTGATTTAATTCTCAACCCAGTCACTACTGGTATATAGCAGAGTGACTGATTTGTGTACGTAAATTTTGTATCTAGAAACTTTGTTGAATTCACTGGTCAGTTCTGGGAGGTTTTTGGAGGAGTCTTTATGGTTCTTTAGGTATACAATCATATCATCAACAAATAGTGACAGCTTAAATTCCTCTTTGGATGCCCTTTATTTCTTTCTCCTATTTGATTGCTCTGGCTAGGACTTCCAGTGCTATGTTAAATAAAAATGATGAAAGTATACATCCTGGTCTTGTTCCTGTTTTCAGAGAGAATGCTTTCAAAATTTCCTTGTTCAGTGTTATGTAGGCTGTGTGTTTGACATAGATGGCTTTTATTACATTGAGATATGTCCTTTGTATGCAGATTTTGTTGAGGGTTTTAATTATAAAGGAATGCTGGATTGTGTCAAATGCTTTTTCTGTGTTTATTGAGATGATCATTGTTTATAATTCTGTTTATGTAGTGTATCATGTTTCTTGACTTGTGTATGTTAAATCATCCCGGCATCCCTGATACAAAACCCACTTGATCATAGTGGATTACCTTTTTGATATGTTGTTGGAATTCAGTTAGCTAGTATTTTTTTAAAGGATTTTAGCATCTGTATTCATTAGGGATATCAGTCTGTAGTTTTCTTTTTTGGCTATGTTCTTTTCTGGTTTTGGTATTAGGGTGATGCTGGCTTCATACAATGAATTATGGAAGGTTCCCTCTTAATCTGTCTTGTGGAATAGTGTAGAATTCTGCTGTGGTCTTGTACTTTTTTTATTGTTAATTTTTTAAATTATGATTTTTACTCACTGTTCAGGGTTTCTGATTTTTCCTGATTTAAGCTAGGAGGGTTGTACATATGCAGGAATTAATTCATCTCCTTTAGATTTTTGTGTTTATGTGTGTAAAGGTGTTTATGGTAGCCTTGAATGATCTTTTATATTTCTGTGATGTCAGTTGTAATATTTCCTGTTTCAAATTAAACTTATTTAGATATTCTCTCTTTTTTTCTTAGTTAATCTTGCTAATGGTCCATCAATTTTATTTATCTTTTAAAAAACCAGATTTATGTTTCATTTATCTTTTTTTTTTTTAATTTTATTTAGTTCTGCTCTGATCTTGATTGTTTCCTTTCTTCTGCTGGGTTTGGGTTTCGTTTGTTCTTGTTTCTCTAGTTCCTTGAGGCGTGACCTTAGATAGTCTATTGTGCTCTCTCAGACTTTTTGATGTAGACATTTAAAGCTATGGACTTTCCTCTTAGCATGGCCTTTGCTGTATCTCAGAGGTTTTGATAGATTTTGTCACCATATCATTCCATTAAATTTAAAAAATATTTTTATCTTGATTTTATTGTTGAAGAAGCAGGTTATTTAATTTCCATATATTTGACTGGTTTTAAAGATTTTTGCTGTTGTTAATTTTCTATTTTATTCCACTGCGGTCCTAGAAAGTACTTGATAACATTTCAGTTTTCTTAAATGTATTGAGACTTGTTTTGTGGCCTATCGTATGTTCTGTCTTGGAGAAAGTTTCATGTCCTGATTAATAAAATGCATAGTTTGTGGTTTTTGGCTAGAATGTTCTGTAAATAGCTGTTAAGCCCCTTTGTTCCACGGTATAGTTTAAATCCATTTTTTCTTTATTGACTTTCTCTCTTGATGACCTGTTTGGTACTGTCAGTGGAGTATTGAAGTCCCCCACGATTATTATGTTTCTGTCTATTTAATTTCTTAGGTCTAATAGTTACTGTTTTATAAATTTGGGAGCTTATAAAGCCCCTTTTTCCACTTTTACAGTTTGGGCACTCAGAATATTTGGGCTGTCTCCCAGGTCCTGCAGGAGCAATTTGCTTCCTTTAAAGGGACTATGAATTCTCTTGCCTTTCCTGGTATATTCCTAGAGTAGTTCTGTTGTAGTTTTAGCAATGCAACAAGATTTAACAGGTTTTCTTTTGTTTGAGATAACACTTAAAGGTTTTTGTTTTATTTTTATGAAAATTAAAAAGTACGAACACAAAAGTGAGGTTGGAGTGAAAGTTTAATAAGCAAAAGAAGAAAGCTTTTTGCTAGCAGAGAGGGGTTTCTGAATAGGGGTTCCCCCTATGAGGCTGGAGTTCAGGGTTATTATGGTCTAGGAATAAAAAGAAATGTGCTTATTTTGTGGGCTGTTTTGGAGAACATGTGACTTAGCTTGGCCTGGGACTAATTAGAAAGCTTGGGCTGAGATCTTGACCCAGGACCAATTAGAAGCTGAAATGATGATATATAGATGCCGCTTAGCTTGGCCCAGGACCAATTAGAAGCTGCCATGATGATATATAGATGCTGCTTAGCTTAACCCAGGACCAATTAGAAGCTGAAATGATATATAGATGCTGCTTAGCTTGGCCCAGGACCTATTAGAAGCTGAAGTGAAAGCTTGGCCTGGGACTTTGACCTGGGACCAATTAGGGGCTGAAGTGATGACTTATAGGAGCCGCCGTAGAGTTTAAATAAAGGTGAGTGCCCACTGGAGCCCACTGTGTTTATGCCCACAAAAGGAGTAGAAACTTTTTGTGGAGCCTTCTGATTATATAAAGGATAAAGGCATTTTATACCAGGCCTTGCTTTTTATTTGAGTGAACTAGAGGTTTTTTTTTTTTTTTT